AGTTTTTTTTATATTTTTATGTTCTTTAGCCTTCTTTATACTGCAGTCCCTAAAAATTGCTTGATACATCTTCTAATTTTAAACAAGAATTCCACAGTTTAACAAATTATGGAACTGAGTGTCAAAAGTTTGGGTTCTCAAAACTTTTCAGTGAGATTTTATTTTTATCGAGAACTTTGACCTGCCTGGCCAGTACTCTGTAAAGGAAATATTAGCCATCAAAATAGTTCTCCAAATCAGTGGAGAAAGTCTACACTTAGTTCTTTGCCTTATTCAAGGTCTCTTTCATCTTATAGACTTTCATTTGTGGCTCTTTGTTTATTATTTTAATTTACATTGTTCTTGTTAAAGCAATAAAAATTGCATACTAAACAATTTTTCAAGACCAACACATACAACATACTAGAAACAACATTCTAAAGGTTAAACAACATATCAACATAAATATTATGATAAAACAACAAATTTATTATTTCAAAACACATTTAAAAAAATGTAGTATATTTCTTTATGATGTATTTACTGCAACCTTTAAATCAACTTTATTCCTTTATTTGATATCTTTAATTTTAGAGGCTTTCAAATTTCACATTTGGTCAGTATAAGTCATTTAACCCAAGAAATATCTTTCAGGAGATTTTCTATTGACATTTCTTGTTATTTCTGAAAGTTTTGATTTCATTTTCATATAATTCCTTATACTATGCTAACCATCATGTAAAAATTATTGATAAAAGAACTCAACATTCATGTTTTATTATTGATTAACATTATCTTTCTATTTATATAATAAATAAACAATTAAAATAGTACTATATTTAAGCAAGTTGATCCAAAATTACTAATTTGCCCCTAAAATAGTAATTTTTTAAACATTTAGTATGATTTCTTTTTGCAAATGAAGACATTTCTCAAAATTTCAATAACATGATTGTACAATAGAAAGATTAAAATGATATATAAAACTTATTCTGTGATTTTTTTTATCTTCATTAATTCCTAAAAAATGTTACTTAGGAAAAAATGTATAGTATAAGTAGATATCATTAATTTGTTTATAATTTCCTATGTTAAGCTAAATGTGATTATATCAATATAAAACTGATCAAATGATTTTCACTTTAAATGATGTCTACTATTCACTGAGTAAATAAGAACAAAAAATTGTTTTTATTGGAGTTTATTTTCTTTCATTGGTTATGTTAACTAACCAAAAACATTATTCAAAATACTTTCAATATTTTTCCTTTCATGGTGTCTGAGAATAACATAAAAATCTTACATCTTCTTTTAAGACATAGGCAACCAGTGATCACTACAACTTCTTTTTCTTTTTTTCTTTAACATATGTAAGTAGTAATCTTCTTGGTAGAGATAATGGTATGATTTCCTGTTGCTTTTTACATATATTTTTTTTAATTCAGAGTTGTTATTCTCTAAGGTTAGAGGGCCTAGTTTACCCTACTTTTTAACTCATAGTTCAGGGAGGTAGATTCATGCCTTTTCCAAAAGTATTTGTATGAAACAAATTCAACAGACTAAGTTGGAAATAGAACTCAGCTTGTCAATTCAACTTTCCTTGATAATAACCATAGTTATTTTTAGCTGTTTTTAGGGTCATCAAGACACTGAAGCTAAGACTGACCTTTTACCTCCATAGTTGATGGTAATGCATTCATGTAACTCCTGAAAGTCTGTTCTAAGCATGATATCAGTACATAAATTTTGTAATACAGTTAAATTCACCCTTTAGTATTTCTCTTTTTATAATATCAATGAAGTGAAACAAGATCCTATTGATTACATATTAAGAGATGCCAGTGCCATGCCTATGACATCATTTGATAGGATGACATTAGGCTTCAATAATTTACAAGTTTTTACTTTTAAAACTCTTATATGTGCTACCAGTATCAAACAAGGCAATGGCTGTATAAGTATTATTTACAATTACTTTCTAACATGAAATCACTGCTAGTAGTTAGAGTACTATTGTGCAAAGTCACAAGAAAATAATCTTTATTATACCAATACCTCGGACTGCAGCCAAGGTTGAAGATTTACAAAGTTTTCCAAAGTGCCATTTTTTTTGCATTTTGACACTCAACATCTCTTCTCAACTGACTTCTTGGATGGCAGTTACTTCCACAAAACCAGCAGGTCCATTTTAGTTTTGCAGTAACAGATGTAGTTACTTCAAAAGAGTTTGATAATATCTGAAGAATGCATTCAGAGTATTTTTTGCTCTTGCACTAGTCATTAGTAATTATGGACATTTTAATTATAAAGATTACAGCTCTTTTGGGTAGTATCTATAGCTGTAACCTGGTTAAATGCATCATCCAGATTTAACAATTTGTGTTCAAGCAGTCTAATGGTGTTTGAACTTATTACATTAATCGACTCAGTCATATATATATACTGCTCAACTGTAACAGCTTTGAAATTGCAGTACTTTGCTAATGTTTTCAGTTCTATTAAGAATTGGTCCAGTGTTTCACTAGGTTGTTGTTTGTATGTGGTGAGAATGTGATGAGTGAAATCTCATTTTTTCATTTCACATACAACTTTTCAAGAGTCTTTAGAATATCATTCTCTTCAAAAGTCTTTAGAATATTATTGTATTCTCTGATATGGTTGTAAACATCCAGTGTGACATAGTTTATAAAAAGGTCTATTTTGTTTGGCAAAACATCAGTAGATAAGGAATTTATGAAGTTGTTAAACATTCATATCCAAAGTTAGAATGTCCTAGCAGAACCTGGTAAATTAGGATATGTACTGAAGTGTCCCAATTTCATAAACATATCCATTGTCATTGAATTATTGATTTTGCTTGAGGTGTTATCACAATAATAGATTTACTGGTTCAAAGTCATGGGTATTTAACTAAGTATTGCCTTGCATGTGTGTTTAATTGATTGAAACTAATCCCAAAAGGACTACAGTAATTGTAAATACAAGTAACGGCCTGATGATCTCCTAAATAAGTCCCATACACAAACTCAGATAGTGCTCTGAATCTCAACCTTCATTTCACCACATTGTATAAAGTGTCCATTTATCTCAAAAAATGATGTATTATTGTCTGTAATGTTTAATTGTTTTGATTTAATGGGCTAACATTTCTAAACACAATTGGATATTCCTATATAAGTAAACTAAATTAGGACTGACATGAACAATTTAGACAAAAATCTAATTTGTCTTTTTTATGGAGAAAATAAATGGTATTTGTGTTTATTTAAATATATCTGATGTCTGGCTGATATATAGCAACAGACTGAGATAGCTAGCTAGTTAGGTTTTCTATCTATCTATGTAGAAACAGAGAAAAATATAGAGATATGCATAATTATTTTACAGTTATGATGATATTGTAAGTTGTCTGAGGATCTGATATGAAGTATTTTTATTCCACACATTATTCCCAAAAGATGAATGTCTAATTGTAAAAAAAAAGCATAGTAGTTAGCAATTTAGATGTAGCATTTACTTAACCAATAGTCCTAGATGGATGAGTGATTAGAACATTATCATTCTGACCATGAAACTGGGCTTGAATCTCACCATAGTTGATTTGTCAAAGAAGTGACCTTGATTTTATTGACCTGAGGAAATGATCTCAGCAAGCAGTACATTTGGTGAGTGCCTGAAAACCATTAACCAGTGGGTAGTTGAAAGTGTGTAGAAACCATCAATGGTTGTGCAAACATGAAGCTACAAATCATTGTGACAGAACTCAAGCATACTGGCCTTGTTCAACAACTGATTATGTCAGATTATGCACTCTCTCCTTGAATGTAACTGAAGTTTGCTCAGAGATGATTTAGCTGCAGACAGGCATACTCATAAATGAGCAACCAGTCATTACTTAATTACTAATCCAACAAGTCCCAAAGATGCATGATTGTTCTGTATTAACAACTTGCATCATTTTTACTGGACATCACACATTTATACTATTTATTCCTCTATAAAAAGACAAATTGAATTTTTTTCTAAATTGTTCATGTCATTTTTAATTAAGTTTACTTTATATAGGGATATCCACCTTTGAATTGTGTTTAGAAATTTTAGCCAATTTTACTTTATAAAAATTGCAAAATAACTTTTTACATTTTAACTGCAAAAATCCTACTTTGAAGTTCTGAATTTTCAGATATAAATATATGTTAGAATAAATGCATCTATGGATATAAATTCAGTTAGCATGTATAATTCTTCTTATACTATTTAGAAAATCATTGACATTGATTTTACAAATTTACTTACTACCCATGAATTTACAAATTATTTAACTGCAGTATAACATCTATCTATATCATTCAACAAATCAAGTCCAAAAATAAATACATGGTAAAAATTAACTAGTATTTAATCATTAACAAATATATGCTGCACTTTCCATAGTCAGAGCATTGCAAAATATTAAACATTAAGTCATAGAGATCTATACAGAAGAATAAGGCATTATTTTTCATTAATTCATGCCTACTGAATATTGAGGATGATAGTATTTGTAAACAAATCAAGAAATCCCTTCCTAAAAGTGGAAGTGATATTTGTTTTTTATGATTAGAATATAAAAATTAATTTTTGCTCAATTACTGAATTGCAAAGATGAACTGTAATTTTGTATTAATGTTTTTTGGAAAGTAGAATGAAATCACTTGAACCCTGTCCTACCCTAAACCACCTTGATATTGAATTGTACTGTTTGGAAAGAGAATAGTGCACAAATGATAGTCACTGTAATTCAATTGTTTTGTACTCGTTGCAAAAGAAGATTTATAAATGTGAGTGGCAAGTGGCTTTATAGCTCCAAAAATAGTTTATGAGTACAAGAACTAAAAATAACTAAATAAAATAAGAGCATAGTTATTTCCAAGTTCAAATTCATAAACATCTAAATGGCGAATATTTTAAATAGTCTCATTTACATTCATACTATATTACTTACAGATCAATGTTTTAGTTTCTCCACTTTCATTAAATATATGAACATCAATAAACATTATCTATCTATCTATCTATCTATCTATCTATATATATATATGGGACAAAGTTGGAAAATTTATTACACGTTTCATCTAGAGCAGTCTATTTGGCTTTCTCAGGTTAGACTGAAAGAAAAACAAAACAAGCTTTGAGATCTCTGAATATAAATAGTGACTATAAATCAAATTAAATCACCTTATCATCTCCAATATCCATTCGCAAGAGAATATCTGTTCATCTGTTTGTTTGTTTTATATATATATATATATATATATATTTTAAATTAATTGATTTAAAATATGGTTTTTTCCACTACACAGTTCTAACTATAGTGGAAAAAACCATATTTTAAATCAATTAATTTAAAATATTAATGCTCTGTAAATTTACATTGAGCACTATTTTGTAAAAATAAAAATATCTATTAGAACACCGGATTATATATCTTACTGTTCTTTTTTTTTTATTTATATATATATATATATATATATATATATATATATATATATATATATATATATATATACTAACAGCATTACCTGGCTTTGCCTGGGTTTATTCAAAAAAGATCACAAACCTCATCCAATCTGTAAAGTTAAAATATAGAAGATTTCTTTTAGTGTCTCTTATCGAAATGGCGTAAAATTATAATGACATGAAGTGTGAAAACATTTATAACAGGTGAAAGTTATTTTTTACAGAAGCACAGAAGATGCAAAAAATTTGTCATCAAATGAAGAGTACATTAATTGCAATCAATCTTCAAATATTGCTGAGGAGAAATGCTTTGTTGACAGCTTTTGCTCAAACTACATCGAATGAACAACATGCATTGGAAGGAGAAGAAATTCAACAAAGACTTCTCCTAGCAGCTGTGCCAAGGCTGAAAACCAACGTTCACAAAGCTGTATAGAATTGTTATTTGCCCCTCAATTTCAACAGCTCGAGCAGCAGAAGTTCTGGCAGTGTTCCTTCCTCATCTAGTTAACCATTGTTCATTAGTTTCTGCTGACCTTGCATTAGCTGTATGAATAGCATTTTGTGTCAGTCTAATTTGAGTTTCTTGTTACGAAGCATTTCTTCTCCGTGCTTTCATGCATTTGGCTGTAGTAGTAGCATGTCCAAGTGAAGGATTTCGCTTTCTTGGCATTACTGTCAGGCTGTAGTTGGAGGGGTTTGGCTGCTTTTTGAATAACAATGAAGTAATCAATAAAAAGCAAGTATATTATACACATTAATGGAAATTTACCCACAATAAATTAAATGCAAGTTTATAAGGGAGACCACAGGAACGTGGTAAACAATTATAACCAAGCTTGTAAAGTTAGGATTTATCTAAAAATAGACTACCAAAAAACGTTCTTGTGATAAAAATAAAAATTAACGTGCAGCTAGAAACCTACTCACTATGAACGTTAAAACGTACATACTAATTTTAGCATAATTATAAATGAATCAAAAGAGGGTCTTTACATTATTATAAGTGCATATTTCAGAATAAAACTATATCAACTGTCCAAATGTTTTATATTTCTGAGCAATTTTCGACTATACCTTTAGCCATTATCAAGGATGATTCAATTTTTCAGCTTGATTGAGTGTGTGCATTCTGTGTATGTCTTAGTGTATGGTAGGGATATTTTTAATTTCCGAATATGGTTAGCACATTGTGGCTTTGTTCGTAGTTAATATTGTTAAGAGTTGGCTTTTTCTTTTTTATTATTAAAGTTTCCATTATTTTTAGTCTTTTTTTGCAGGTGGATGCAGTTAATATATTTGTGTTTTCTACTAGTATGTTCCTAATAGACTCGGGTAAATTTGTGTGTGTGTTTAAATGGGTTCTAATGGAGTTAAAGGTATAGTCAAAAATTGCTCAGAAATATAAAACATTTGGACAGTTCTTACACACCCTTTGTCCAGAAAAGAAAGCTCTTGTCAGAACACAAGAAAAATTAAATAAAAAGCTTAACTGTAGTACCTTGTCTGTCATTTTTAATGAAACATGCATATATATATATATATATATATATATATATATATATATATATATATATATATATATATATATTTGCATATAAATGTACATACATACACACCCACCCAGGCATATACATATATTAGTGCCTTATGCATGTGTGTGTGTATATATGTATGCACAGATATATGTGAGTGGGTATGTATATGTGTACATGTATGTACAATTATACAAACAAGTTTCTAATATATATCTATATATGCATGGGTGAATGAGTATTTATGTACATGTATATGCAAGTATATATAATATAAAACACTCTAGTTTCAGTGAACTGATGTAAAATCCAACAACACCAAACACTTCTAATATAGATAAAATAAAAAAAACAGGCACTCAGACACTCTCATTGGAGGTCAAAAATATAGTACTTTGTATTTAATACCTAATAATTACATCTAATTAGCCATGACTGATTCCAGTATGATTTTTCTCAGAATTTTACCATATCATTGTAAAGATCACTTGTTTTTCTGGGCTTATTATACCAGATGTTAGTTTTGGCAGTTTTCCATATAATTTTGATAACAATGAGTTTCATTAAATTGCTCAGCCATCACAAAAATTCAGTACTATTTCAGTCAGTTTTGTGCCATGCATGATATACACTTAGGCGAACATGTATCTTTCAATACATGACTGCCAAGACAGATTTTTTCTTGCAGTAGGCTGCCATTTCTTTCTGCAGTAGACCAGTTGCCATCCAAGGATATAGAATCCAGTCTATCCTGTTATTTACCCATAGCTGGGGGGAGAAGAAGAGAATTCATACCTTTCCCAAGGGTATTAGCACATAAGTGAATGTAATGGATTTGACTGGAATTCAAACTCAGCTCTCCAATTCCTCAATCTGAGCTGCTATCCATTACTCCACAGTACTATTTATTTCACTGTAAGCTCTCACATAATTTGAAGTATTTCTAGATAATACCTTTTATCCATAATACCCTTAGTCTTATATAAGAGATGAACAGTTTTCAGATATACACCACATATATCTTTTCTCTCAACACCCTATCCCATAGTGAATAGTATTAAAAATATAACAAAAGTCCATCACCAAATTTTGGTCAAGATCCAACCTAACATGAGTTAGTTGTTTTATCTCAGTTTCCCTAATGGTAAGTGAGGATGAGGGTTGGGTGCCTCCTGTTTCACCTAATCTTTATAGTTAAAACCGTTGATAATGTCATGAATTCAAACCCAAACAATTCCAGATGCTAATTCAATTTATTATAATTAAAGGCTTTTCAATTTCCCATAACCTACTAAAAAACAAGCCCCAGATTATTTTGGTATGCTAGTAAAATGCAAATTACCTATCTTGGTTTTCTAGGCTTTTCAATTTAATTCCGGTTCCAACAGACACAAGATACAGATTCACTCTTTTGTAAAATACAACTCTGTCACTGCTTCCTCTGAGTTTAAGCATTGTTCTTTGTCTACTTTTTTTCTGTACCTTTAACAATCAAACCAAAAATGTTCCTCACTCCACATAACTTGAGATCATTTTTTTTCAAATTCCAGTCCTTGTTCTCTTTGGCAAAATTGGATGCACTCACATAATTTTAAAGAAAAAGCAACGGCTTCTTGCTGTTCTCATTCTAGAAACTGAAAATGATTGAGCTGATCAAATGTATCTTCAAACCATTTTTGATTTAAATCATTTCTTATATCAACAGCATTCATATTTCTATTTCTCTTTGAAAGTTAGGGAATGCACCTATTCCTCAACATAGCAAATTTCTTCAGCTGTCTAGATCTGGGCCTATTCAATTTTCAGTTGTAGTATTTTATGGTATTGTAAGCAGCTCTTGTTTAACATTCACCTTCAAAAGTTGTTTTTATGATCACTTAAATTTATGCAGTTGCATCTATATCTGAGCATTTGGTAAAAATGTGCTTTTTTTCTCTCCATCCCAACTACCTCAATTTCAATAGAAAATATTATATATAACCTACTTTATCACCAAATAAAGTGAATGACTTAGTTTTAAGTGTAATGATATTTCTGACAAAACATTTAAAGAAAAATATATTATAATATTCACCTTATTCTTTTCAAAACAGACATCATTTAAAAATACATAAACTGTACTTGAATTTTAAATATTTTATGGTAGAATAATTATTATTTTAAATTATGTCCATAAGTTAAGTGACAAGTGTTAAAAACAGAGAATTAGCTGGTTATCAATTAGAAACAACAAGCTTTTTATGAAATTACATCTAAATGTGTCAATGTTGGTATATGCACTTTCTCTTCATTTCTTTTTCATGCATATTTCACTCAATTTGGAAAAATCATAGCTTGAGGAGCAAATTTCTTTCTAGTTATTGCTTTGATAATTTTGCAGAGATGGAGGAGCTAAATAGTTCTTGACATGACCGAAAAGCTCTTCCAAAGATTCTGATCTTTGATTTTAAGAAGTAAGTCAAGCTGACAATTTTTTCCAGCAACATTTCATATTTGTTTTTAACAAAATCAGAAAATCACTTTAAAGTGAACCCATTTCTATCCAAACAAATACAACCCTTTATTTCTGCTGAATATGTATATTTGCAATGAATAAATTATTTTACAAAAACAAAAACATTTTTATATGAAGTGATGGTATAAAGAAAGTTTGTAGAGAAAAAAAAGAAAACTTTGTGAAATGGATAAATATAAGTATGAAATGAATCAAAGAAAAAGTTTGTAGATGTTAATGGATATAAATGTGTGTGTGGGTAGTGATTGGTGATATTGATGCTTTTAAAAATATGACTGCAGGTACAGGTGGCATTGGTTAGTGAAACTGAGCATAGCTGATTTAATTTTTCTTTAGGTCAAAATTACTCTACCTTTAAAAAGAATGGAGATGCAAACAGTATTTATTGGCAACAAAAGTGGATGATAGTAATAATATTGGCACTACTCATTGTGACAATGATTAAAATAGTGAAGTTTCTTGTGCCAGAAGTGTAGGAATTGTAAAGTTGGCTAATGAATTTTCTTTAAAGGAAATGATGGCAATAACGACATAGCAAACCAGATCAAATGGTGACTTCTCCTATAAAGTGGGGGGCAGGTTTGAACCCTGCCAGAGAGTACATTTTCTTTATTAGAATTTCTTGAGTGTACAGGCTGATAAACATAATATACACTCTTTAAAAAACACTGGTATCCACTAAAAATAACATTTAAAGTAATAAACATGTTGGATTAAATACAAATCCATTAATTATTTAGAAAAAAATGGTGATATCTACGCTAATGGTAAAGGGATGAACCTTCCTACTCTTAACTCATGAAGGGGTGAAGATGCTAGGGTTTTAGTTGTGGAAACAATCAAGGGATAATGAAGAATGACAATGATGGTGGTGTTTGCCATTGAAAGAGGATAGTTACAAGTCAAGCTCAACAATGTTAATAGCAACAGATGATTGGGATAATTATTATTATGATATATATAGTAACAAAAGCTTGTGATTAAACAGGCAATGTGAAAACCAGCACTGATGTAATGTAGTAAAGGTTTTCCTCCATCATTTCTAGTGTTAGCGATAATCTCAGTAATGATAACATTTTTAGTATCAGTAAACTAGTATGATACAAGTTGGAAGATACTGGTGACAATTTAGTGATGGTAAAGGTATATTTGATAGCTACGCTATTAAAATGTTATATGATGGGTGGAGGTGTTGTTTTGCAAGTACGGATTTTCATTGCAGCTGCTGCTTGCTGTCTGAACATACTGAGTATGAATGAGAGATGTGTTGAAAAACTGGGTCAGCTTGCAGATTGAACCAGATCAATAACAACTACTCATTTTATCTTCAATAAAGACTTGATCAATAATTATATGTTGTCCCTTCAAACTTGCACGTAAGAAGGCTTTTTGATTGTACTGCTTGCAGCATCAAAAAGCAGATGGAATGGAAGAAAGGCAAGCAGCTACTGAGTTAGAAGTGTGGAAAAAAAAGATTCCTCACCTTTAAACTTTTCCCTTCTTTTGTTGAGGCCTTTTTTCTCTGTTTTCTCTTCCCTTTTTATTTTCTCTCCTTTTTTGTGAGAAAGAAGAAGAACCAGTGAGAGTAAAATAGAATAAAATGAGGGAAGTGGAAGAATTCTTAAAAGATGTTAATGGATATAAATGTGTGTGTGGGTAGTGATTGGTGATATTGATGCTTTTAAAAATATGACTGCAGGTACAGGTGGCATTGGTTAGTGAAACTGAGCAAGTCGAAACCAAAGAAAGTTGTATGAGGAGGAAATTAAAACAATAAGTATTAGCTAGTAAATTGTCTAAAATAAATAGACTATATATTTGAGTATGAGAAAAAGAGTCTCTAAAGCCATAAAAATGATTCAATCTATGGGCATAGGAGTTGTATCTGGAGAATGAACTGAGTAAAATATTTTCTATTCATTTTCCATCCTGGTTACTTTTATCACTTCTCAAATACTATCTTATTTTATTCACATTCCTCTCTTTTTCCTTTAAAATATTTATATTCTTTACATTTAGTTTTTTATCCCCCAATTCTTCTGTTTCTCTTATTTCATCAATTGTTTTGCTCTGCATTTTTCTGAATTTTTCTCTTGATAAATTTATTCTTAAATCTATTCTTTTCACTTCAACTTTATAATTACTTTCTTCTTTTGCTCTTCCATCCTCTCTTCTAAGTTTTTTCTTCCTCTTCTTTCATTCCCTTTGACTGCTTTTATTTTCCCTTTTCTAATTTTCTTGTCTATTGTCATCTTCTTTCTTTGTTTCATTTCTCCTCGCTTCTTCTCAATTTTTTCTTTTGATATTAAAATATTTTCCTTCTGCCTTTGTTTTCCTCCAATTTTTTTACTTCTTTACTCATGTATCCTATTTCTTTTTTAAGTCATCTCACTTCTGCAATTGATTTTTCTCTGATAGGTTTTCACTCTTTTTCCTTTCTTCTTAGATCTTCTCACTTATTTTTATTCTTCTTTGATATTCCCTTCCTTTGCTATTTCCACACTATTTCTCTTTTGAATTTTTCTGTCTTTCTTCTTTATTTTCTCTTCTTTGTCTTTTCCTATTTGTTATATTTTCTTATTTTGACTTTCAATTCCATATATATATATATATATATATATTTGTGTATAATAGTGGAAAATTGACATGTCAAGTATGACCATTTCAATGACTTTACTGATGATTTTCTTGTTGCCCATGTCATAATTTAAAAAATGATACCTAAATTAAAACCAAAATTAATTAACTAAGGTAAAACAAAAGTGCACAGAATTTTGAGTCCTCCATGATAATTTTTTTCCACTTTCTCACAATATTTCACCATTATTAAGAAATGTCCTGTTGTCATAGTGTAGGATATTTAAAAACAACAGCAATAAAAACATAAAGTGTTCAGAAAATAAATAAAATCAGTTGAGTTGTTGCATTTAAGCATGTTGAACTTTTAAAATTGAGCATCCCTACATATTCAGCATTTCTTCTTGATGCATAATTATAACCCACATTTTTCATTTATATTCTCCCTCCTCTTACACACACACACACACACGCGTGCGTGCATGCATGTGTGTGTGTGTGTGTGCAAATATAGAAAAATAGGAAAAATCTGTTAGGTTAATAATCCAAAGTTCTTTAGCATTTTTGTTTTTATTTTTAAAAAACAGTGCTCAATACTTAAGTAGAGCCAAAATTATTAGGCTCTACTTAAGTATTGAGCACTGTTTTTTAAAAATAAAAACAAAAATGCTAAAGAACTTTGGATTATTAACCTAACAGATTTTTCCTATTTTTCTATATTTGCACAGATATATCAGCTCCCAAATTAAGGTTGAGCACTCTGAACCTTTATTTTTAAAATAAGTATCTTAAAAATATGGAAAAAGTAAATTTCAGCATTTCTCTGAAAAACATTCCAAACACAAACAAACAGAATTATTTCGTAAAACTTATGCAAAAAACAGAGGAATTAATAACAAGGATGAGATGGAAAGCATTTTCTTCCTTCGAGGGAATAACTTAGCAAAAAAAGAACATGAAGTTTATGGCTTTAAAAGTAAAAAAGCAGCACCATTTAACAAAAGGTTATATGAATTTGAAATAGACCTACTTAATATAATTAACAACATCTCCTTTCAAAAAAAGAAAAGCAACTTCCAAAAACATCTAAACCAAATAGTAAAAATCATCAACAATAGTGATAAAATACTGGTAAAGTCTGACAAAACGGGAAACTTCTACAAATTGACAGCTGATGACTACAACAACTTAATTAAAAAATTTTTAACAAGGACTTATAAAAAAGCTTATAATAACAATGTAAATATGGTAGATAATATTAACAGAACTAGTAAAATTATTACTGATAAATTAAAGATAAGTGATAGAGTAAGCAAACTTGCTGAAATTGGATTAAAAGCACTGAAATCCATTTTGGCATCACCATGGAATCTTTAGACTCTACAGACTCTTCTGAGCTTGTCAGTCTATATATACTATACAACCTAACCACGCACTGTGAATTAGACATTAAGAACATCGGGCTATACAGGGATGATGGGCTCATGGTAGTGAGGAGTTCCACAAATTTTAAAATAGATAAAATTAGAAAGATCATATATAGTGAATTCAGAAAATTAAATTTAAAAACTACAGTCAACACAAAACTGAAACAGGTAAACTTCCTCGACATAACTCTGGACTTAATGAACAATGTATACCTTACAGAAAACTTAATGCTAACTCCTTGTATGTACACCCTAGGTCAAACCACTCTCCATCTACAATTCAGCATATACCCTTATCAATAGAGAAATGAATCAGCATGAACTCCGCAAATGAAGAAATCTTCCAACAACAAAGTAATTTTTACAACACAGCTCTAAAAAATAGTGGATACAAAAATGCTAACATCAATTATAGTAACAATAGTACTGACCAGAAGAAACACAGGAAAAGAAAAATCATTTGGTATACCCCTCCGTTCAACCAAATGGTTAGTATTAAGCTAGGACAAAAATTCCTAGCTTTAATTGAAAAACACTTTCCTACTGATAGCAGACTTAGCAAGATCTTTAATGAAAACACCTTAAGCTACAGCTGCACTGTAAGCTACAGCTGCACTGAAAATCTAGAAAGAATCATTAAAAATATAAGTTCCTGGAAAAACATGCATGCCAAAATATTATTAGTAAAAACCCTAAACTAAAATTAGACAAAAATAATGAAAAATTATGTGACTGTAGAAACCCTGAAGACTTCCCATTGGAAAACAAATGCTGCCTAGAATCTGTGGAATACCAATCCACAATCTCATCCATCGAGAGTCCTAACATTGAAATGATATATATAGAATCCATGAAGAATGAATTTAAAATTAGGTGGAGACAACACAAAAGCTCACAATAATATTAGAAATAGAAATTAGACATCCCTATCCAAATATTTTTGGCATTAAAAAGAAATGAATAAAACACCAAAAATAAAATGAAAAATAGTAAATAGAACAAGAACTTGTAAAACCTGGGATGACCCATGCCCTTTATGCCTACATGAAAAACTACACATCATTAAGTTTTTAAAAAACAAAATTTTATTAAATCATAGACATGAGTTAATGGTTTTTTGCCAACATCAACAAATTTTTGCTTTAAATAATTATTTTAAAATTTTAATAATTATTTTAAAATTTCATAGTCTATAAACAATTTCAATTTCAAGCAAAATGTTTAAAATCTCAACCCAATCATAAGATAAAAAACCCTTTATGAAGTCGTCAAAAAACAACTTGTAGTTCAATATGATATATTTATATACAAACAACCCTTTTAGAAAAAAAAAATTTTAAGGTATACAAATACAAATTTAAGGGTGTAACAATAATGCCAACAACTTTCTGTCATTGAAACAGACCAGATGATATGCGTCAAACTGATGTCATCATTTGCTTGAAAATAGACACCCCGACCCTACTTTGATTTAACCTCTTTCTGAAAGATGTTGATACATTTCTGAAAGTAACTAATATGTTGATACATTATTACACCCCTTATTACAATAATTGGCTTCACCGTTTCCATGTAATTAATATTAAGAATGTATATGCTTATAAAGCTCCATAAATTTCAAGATTAGTTATTCCAAAATTCTCTTGAGGATGAAACAGAGCTGGTTTTTTAGCTTTTGCTTTTGAAACATGAGAACATGAAATAGCTATTCTTTGCTGACGTTGTCAAAATTGTCCTTAAATAATATTTTAAAAAAAAAAGTAAGCATAGCTGGTAATATACATACTTATATTTGATATGTAATAATAATTTTAAAGTATTTAAGTAATTCTTTTACATTTATTTGTTTTAAAAAGAAATATAATCTATTAGTAATTAAAAGTAAATAATAAAATAATATTTTAAAATTGTAGTTCAATACAACATATTTTAATCCAAACACCCCTTTTAGAAAGAATCTGTGTGTATACAAGTACAAATTTAATGAATAAAATGCCAAAAAACTTTTTGCCATAGATAAAAAAAAACAGATAACATGCATTGAACGGATGTCAAAATTTGTTGAAAAATGGCACCCTACCTAGATTTAACCTTTTTTTGAACGTAACTCATAATTGATACAATAATAATTAATAAAAAAGAACATGCAATTGCCCCTGTCTAAATGATTGGATTTCTCTGTATCCTTGGAAACAAAAATTATGAATGTATATGCTATTAAAACTCAGTAAATTTCAAAATAATTATTCCAAAATTCACTTGAAGATGAAACAGAACTACTGCTTTTGATTTAATTATATAATTGAATTTGAAGTTTTTAGTTTCTGTTTTTGAAACATGGCAATTCCTGTGTAGTGATGAAACCATATTTTTAAATCAGTTGATTTAAAATATTTATATTCACACATACCTATGAGTCACATAATTATAAAGACATACACATCCATCCTATATAAAAGAAAAAAAAATATAAAAAATATAAAATATTAGTAAAGGGACATAAACATACATACAAGTAAATAAAAATTACTAATGCAAACTAGTAAATATAAAAAAATACATCTAATTCCAAATTTAAAGAAAAATGAAATAAATGAATTAAAAAAATGATGTCTGGCTAGAATTGAAATCAGTTTGGTTCAGCATATTTCAAGAGATTTTTAGGTCTACATGTAACCATTAATTCATTTCTTTTGTTTAGTAAATTAGGATTATTTAAATTTTTAGAATAGTGAATTTTTCTAGACAGAGAAGGTTACATCTTTCCCCTTAACTATTGTAAGATTTAGTTCTAGTCATTATTTCCCCACATAATTTTTAATATAATTTCACCATATTTGCCTGTAATATTTTGAAAGAGCAGTATTATTTTTGTATTTATCATTATTTAAACTTATTTTATGATTATAAAATTGATTTTTCCAATGCATTTTTGTCCTTTATCAGATTGTATGTTAACTCTATAAACAATATTATTAGTTAAACATTGGCCGTTTAAGGGACAGTTCATATTATTTCAGCAGTTATATTTTTATTATCTACTCTTGCTTCATTATAGTTTTTTTTTGCAAGTTATATAATTATTCAATTACTATGAGATACAATTTTTTGATATTTCTAACACAGCTGTAGTTGATCATTATGTATTTTTGCTAAAAAATATTTGATGTTGGTGAATTTTTAAATGTTTACCTATTAGTCTGAGAAAGATGCTATCGACATTAGTTTTTACATTACAGATCTAAAGGGGGTTAATCATATCACATTGCAGTGACTTTTTTTATTTTTACCTTCTATGTTTTTTTTATGTATTCTATATTTACTTTGTGTTTGCTTTCTTCTTGGGCTATTACATAATTTTAGCTTCATCAATATTTCCTTGTTGCTGGAGTTAGTTGTTAATTTATATTGTACTGATTTATGTAAATGCTTAAGTATAATAGGGTGATGAATTGATTTGCTATTTACATATTTCTGGTTGTGTAAATATTCTATATGCAGTTTGTATCTACCAATATTCAAATCCAAGGTCATATCAAGAAAGTTGATCACTTTTGTATTT